AGCGCCAACAGTTTGCGCAGCACTTTACAATATAAGGAAGACATTACAATCACAATACAAATCAAGACAAGATAGTAAGGAGGGCCCTGACCCTGTGTATGATGTCTTTTTTTTTAAAACATATATAAGGGATGCACCGATACCTTTTTTCCAAGTACAAGTACTGATACTTGCCCAAGTACTCACAGATACAAGTACTGATACTTGCCCAAGTACTCACAGATACAAGTACTGATACATTTGTTTATTGTCATGTGAATGTTTTTCTAAAACAATACAGACTAATGATTTCAGGACAGTGGTGGAGCGCCAGAGCCCGGTCCTAGCTGCAACCCTGGTAGTTCTCGTGAAAATGTCAAGTATCGGCACTGGTATCTGAACATCCCTAAAAACGGGTACATCACTTTTATCCCCCTACCCCTGGCACCAGCAATACCCTTACCTATCCCTATTTCTAAATGAACCGCTGGAACAGCATGCATACATTATACGATGCATAAAGCATTGCCACCAGAGAGATCTCAGCATTGATAACTAAACTGAAATACAGAAGTCCAGGCTCTCTATAAAACGGTGCTTCCTGGCTCCAAGGAAACCGATCCAAGGATTGACAATGATGCTTAATGCCTGAGCTTTTATTCAGCGACAGGTTAGCTTTAATTAAAACACTCAGTTCTCCTAACGATGCTACGAATGCCATCCTTGAGATCATAATCAAAACGCAAAGCGTTAAATCAGTTTGTAATCTCTGTCCTCTTAGCATTGGGCGATTCATTTTCCACTCTTGTGGAAGATTATACAAGGTCTAGTCCTATCAATATAGGTGTGCAGTTCCTTCTGAGAACCTCGCTTCAGAGTCATCAGCCTCTATAAGGGCTATTGATGCTGGAAGCTAATTGCTAACAGCGTCAGGAGTCTTGACCTGAATGTAGAGGAGCACGGCCATAGACAAGTCAACACTGCCACCTGATGACTTTGTCGGCAATAACAACTGAGCTCCTGGAACTTAGAAGGCTATAGACCCCTGAAAGCAGCTTTAACAAATAAAAAAAAAGTATCACCAACAGCACTCTGCTGTGTTGTTACACCAATATGGCTACAATCATCTGAAAGCATGTAGAGAATACCAGAACCCAAACCAATGAAACCTCTGTGGGCACCTTCATCAAAAGCAAACGCATCAAGGCTCATACGAGTGCCTAAATCCAATTGTATTGATTGCCCATCCATTCCTGTCTTTCACGACAGCTAGGACCGCACCACCAAATGCAGGGGGCAGAATCCTATACCAAAATGCTGAATCCTTGGGCGAACCAGCAAGGGGATCGGGGCAGGGAATTTGCTGTATAAATGTGATGATTGGAATCTTATTTGCTTGTAAGTTTATCAGTATGCCTCGTAGCGCAACTGGGTTTTGAGAAGCAATGTGGAGCAGATTATTTGGAAGGCAAACATCTACCTATTGAAGATTTGATAGGTGTGACCTCTGAGTTCTTAGATCTGCACACATATTATGCCCATTAAAAGGGGTTACCACCATTTGTATTCATTTTACCTGATGGAAAATGTTAGAGGATTTTCTGGAGCACACAAAAGGTGAGTGGGAACACCCACATCCCCCAGGAATTATGGCAGGGAGAGCTCCGTATTAATATCCAAGGCATATAAGAAGCCAGGGGCTGACACCACCCCACCAAATACCGACACTGCCCCACCAGGCACCAGGGGCTGACACCATCCCACCAGGCACCGACTCCCTCCCACCAGGGGCTGACACCTTCCCACCAGGCACCGACTGCCTCCCACCAGGGGCTGACACCGTCCCACCAGGCACCGTCTCTCTCCCACCAGGGGCTGACACCTTCCCACCAGGCACCGACTCCCTCCCACCAGGGGCTGACACCCTCCCACCAGGCACCGTCTCCCTCCCACCAGGGGCTGACACCTTCCCACCAGGCACCGACTCTCTCCCACCAGGGGCTGACACCTTCCCACCAGGCACCGACTGCCTCCCACCAGGGGGCTGACACCGACCCACCAGGCACCGACTCCCTCCCACCAGGGGCTGACACCTACCCAACAGGCACCGACTCCGTCCCACCAGGGGCTGACACCTTCCCACCAGGGACCGACTGCCTCCCACCAGGGGCTAACACCTTTCCACCAGGCACCAGGGACTGACACCGTCCCACCAGGCACCAGGGACTGACACCCTCCCACCAGGCACCAGGGACTGACACCTTCCCACCAGGCACCAGGGACTGACACCTTCCCACCAGGCACCAGGGACTGACACCTTCTCACCAGGCACCAGGGACTGGCACCTTCCCACAAGGCATCAGGGGCTGATACCGTCCCGCCAGGCACCACCTATAATTGAAGCACTTCTTTTTGGACCTTCTTTAAAGCTTATCTCCACGTGCAGTACCTGATCCCCTAGCTGTTGGCACTCACCTTGTCTCCCCTATGCTCCAGGATTGTGGATTGTCCCTCGGCATTCTCATGCATGATGCAGGGCTTAGAGAAAGCCCTGAAGGTTCTGAGAAGTTTTGTTTTTTCCCTGTTGTGCAGAAGGAAGGTTGGTGTGGCAGCGAAATTTGTATAATTTTACGAGGGTTTATATCCACTTTATTTTGTTAAACATCCCTGGGAATGAATTTCACATCAGACAATGAAAGTCTTGTAATTGGCTCCCAGAAGCCTGCACAGAGCTTGAGGTGAAAGTACAGGCAACCCATTCAATGTCATGAGGGTTGCTTTATAAGCAATTTGCAGGATCGCTGGCCATGCGAATATCTGTGATCATTCATCTGTGCGTATATTCGCATGGGACATTTCTTTAGGTTTTTTTCCCCAATTGTAATTAAATTCAAATGTTCTGATTGTAATATCTCAATATGGCCACTAGATGGCGCTAAAGGATCATAGGAAATAAGGATTTATTTGCTATGCTCCTCAGCTCCATCTAGTGGCCATGTTGAAATATTACAAACAGAACAGAAACTGAATTACACTTGTAAAGGAAACAACTAAAGAACATTTGTTTGTACATATATGCGCAGAGGATGAATATTGTATCACAATGCAAATGCAGGACGGATTGTTTATAAATGAACCACATGGTGTGTGATACATGGGAGAGGGGCCGTAATGTCTGTTACTACAATGGGACTGAAAATAACTATGGTAAAGGCAGCTCATGGCAGTGATTCATTGCAAGTGAATTGGATTGCCTTATCTCACCATGTACAAGAACAGAAGCAGGTAAAGACCTGCAGTGAAGTATATCATTCTGATATATAATGATATATAGCGGACCTGAAGGGGAACATTTTTGTGTTACAGCTGAAGTGTAGACCAACACTTTAATGGGGTATTAGCCAGGTACCATTAAGGTGCCTCCAATGACGTGTGCACCACGGGTGGCTTTCCCCACAATGGGATTGAGGGAGGGAAAACACGCAGCCATAGTAACCTACATTCACTTTTATTGTTCAAAGCCGATACAAAATGGCATCTGATTGATTGCTGTGGGTGCAATTTGTATGTGATCACTGCTCTTGCAACACTGGTCCATATCAGGACCGCAATTACTCTCTTTGCTGCCCCATGGCCAGGTTCCTCGATGCGGCCCCCTCCCCCCATTTGAGAATGGCAACCAGATAGCGGTTGGGGGGGGTGGCGGAGTTGGTTTTATTTTTTTATCACTTTTTTACATTTGAATGATTTAAATTTTTGTTACTTTTTTAAATTTTCATTTATCTTATTATCTTTAACTTTTGTGTGTTTAACCACTTTTTATTTGAATTATTATTTTTTACATTTTTATTCACTTAACTTTATTGCTATCACACAGGAGCTAACAAGCCCCTGTGTGATAGCTCTTTATTGAACCTGTCACCTCCAATACAGTACTGTGCTGGCTCTCTTGTGACAGCTAAGTGGGGAAGGCTGCAAGTGCAGTGTTCCCGTCTCAGTGTTTACACAGAGCAGAGCCGAGAACGTTCCGCTCAGCTCCCCACTCTCCATCCTTAACTACCTTGCCGTGGTCCCGGGTCCTGCAGTAGAGTGGGGGACCCCAAAAAACATGGCGGGGAGAGAGGCAGAAAGTGAGGAGAGAGCTAGCCGACAGAGGGGGGCGGCGGGGGGAGAGAACTGCAGGCTGCATACAAGTCATCTCGGCAGCATTGCTGAAATCACTTGTACAAAACAAGTGGTGGCTTCCCCACTGTACACTTAGGTCCGCTTGCCCGAAACAGGGTTAAATGTAGAAAAAAAACTGCATGTCCCAGGCGTTGGGTGATGGGAATTCCACACTCCTGCTGCCCCGAGGCCGGGCCTTGGTGGCCTTGTGGGAAATCCGCCCTGGTCCATATAAATCAATAAATCATTGACTGCTAAAACATGAGACAAACCAAAAGCTTATAGCAAGAAAAATAACAATTTATTATCGCTTTCTATATAAACAAAGTATAAAACATGAGGACATCCTCTGCATGGGGTTCTCTTTCCATTACCATCAGAATAGTCATAAGGACAGACTGTAAACTTTATGAGCCTAGTGAATCGTAGCCCCTCCCGCAAGTCATTTCCAATTTCTGAGGGCAAGGTCCATCTCTGCTATACAAGCTTGTTCAATGAACAGACCAAGGAGCAGAAGGCTAACTGAAAAGGACAGTAGCTAATGGCAACCAATCAGAATTAATCATTCTGCAAACGGACTGTAATTGATTGCTTTGGTTTTGTACTTTGCTTGTTGTTCTTCCTTCTGTCGTTTACGTCAGCCTCCAAATTCTGCTGGAGCCCCCTGGAATTTCCATGCCAGTACCATTTTCTGAAGGCATAGGACTAGGCACACCCTCTCCATCTATGGCTTCTGCTGGCGTTCATCTACAAGGTAGGACATGTGACTTTCTACTTATTATTCCTGAACTACAAGTGCCATCATGCCTCATGTCAGTGGTATCCATCAATGTACAGCAGCAGACAGTGCTTTATGTCTATATGTACAGGTTGCTCTGCACTTCAGTCGTTCTCATGCTGTTCCTCAGGGTTTCTAAAATATTTTCAGATTTCTGGAAAAGAGAAAAGATAACAGATTTAGGAAAGTCTTTCTTAGACCCTTTCCTGCGACCTGTACAAATACACATTTCTGGCTTTCCTTGTGACTTGTTTCTTCACATATGTACGGTATTCTCTAGCAGAAAGTGCTGCATATCACCTGGCCCTCCCCTCCTACACAACACTTAGCCCTCCCCCTAAAATGTAACCCTCCTCCTAACACTTAACCATACGTATCCCCCCCAACACTTAATCTTACCCCTCCTTGTAACACTCAGCCCTACCTATCCACCCAACACCTAACCCTACCCCTCACCATAGCACTTAGCCCTACCCATTCACCTACACTTTACTTTACCCCTCTTCTTAACACTTAACTCTACCCCTCCCCATAACACTCAGCCCTACCTATCCACTTACACTTTACGCCTCCCTCTAACACTTAACCCCTCCCCATAACACTTAACCCTAACCCTCCCCATAACACTTAACCCTAACCCTCCCCATAACACTTAACCCTAACCCTCCCCATAACACTTAACCCTAACCCTCCCCATAACACTTAACCCTAACCCTCCCCATAACACTTAACCCTAACCCTCCCCATAACACTTAACCCTAACCCTCCCCATAACACTTAACCCTAACCCTCCCCATAACACTTAACCCTAACCCTCCCCATAACACTTAACCCTAACCCTCCCCATAACACTTAACCCTAACCCTCCCCATAACACTTAACCCTAACCCTCCCCATAACACTTAACCCTAACCCTCCCCATAACACTTAACCCTAACCCTCCCCATAACACTTAACCCTAACCCTCCCCATAACACTTAACCCTAACCCTCCCCATAACACTTAACCCCACCCCTCCCCCTAACACTTAGCCCTACATATCCACCCAACACTTATCCCTCAGTCTGACACTTAACCCTACCCCTCCCTCTAACACTTTACCTTACCCCCTAACACTTCAGCCTACCCATCCATCTAACACTTTACCTTCCCCTTCCCCATAACACTTAACCCTACCTATCCTCCTTACATTTAACCCTACACCTCCCCTAACATTTTACCTCACCCCTCCTCCCTAACACTTTACCCTGTCCCTCCCCCCTAATGCTTAACCCTACTCCTCCCTCTAGCATTTAAACCTATTCTCCCCTAACACTAAACACTATCCCCTTATACTTTACCCTCCTTCCCCTCTCCCCTAACACTTAACCCTATCCCCCTCCCCCCAAAACTTAACCTCTTATGACAGGGAAAAGATAACTAGCGGTCCTAGAATGGAAACGTGAACAGAGCTGTATGGAAACATTTATTGATGGATCCACTTTAACAGAGATGCAAAAGGGGAAAACCTTACCGCAGCCAGAAGGCTCATACTCTGGCAGGATAGGACTGACCGGAAAGCCTCCATGGTGACGGAATCCAGTTTGGTGATGTCTGTGTAGCACTGATAATAGATGGCGGGAATCCTCCACACCTGACAGTGCGCCATCACTGCAAGAAGAAACATTCATCAATGAGTGGACATGTTACCGCTTTCTCCAAATTCTAAGAGGAAGACCCGTGGTATGGGAAAATAGAAGAAGCAGAAGACATCTGACCTATTAGGGACATTATGCCCCAAGTTCGGCCTTAAAGTGACATTAAACCCTCAGATTTTTTAACATAAAACAATAGTGTAATGTGCGCCTTACTGTAATCCATGGTTGTTTCCCTTCTCTTTGCTGCTCTTCCTTTTAAATCCGAATCTCTTCTCATGCTTGGGGAGAACTTCTGTTTTGCAGCAGACTGCCTTGTCTCTGAAATGGATACACGGTGTCTGTGTGCAGGTTCACAACCTGAGCCAGCACTACAGGAAGAGGGACTCTGCTGCAAAGGGAAGTTCTCCCCAAGCATGAGAACAGATACAGATTTAAAAGGAAGAGCAGCAAAGAGAAGGGAAACAACCATGGATTACAGTAAGGCGCACATTACAGTATTGGTTTATGTTAAAAAATCTGAGGGTTTAATGTCACTTTAACACCCCTTGATTGCTCTGATGAATCCCATCTAGACAATCCCTAATATTTGTCCCATCCCCAAAAAAAGAGAAACAAGCTATTAGGGGGCCTATGCATGACAATATGTATTTATCATCATTCCAGATATTTATATAGAGCCCTCAATTTACACAGCGCTTTACATACATCATTCACATCATATACTTTAAAATGTCCTTTCCACAAACCACGCTATGGACGCTGAGGTTTGTATATTGTGGCTCCTCCATATACCATGGTGTCTAAAATAAGAACCGTGTTGCCACACAAAACAACCAATGAGGTTTCTTATCAGGCTCATTGAGCAACACGGCCAGGTCTTGTTCCAGATACATGATAAAATAATCCTTATTGGTACCAATTAGGGATGCACCGATACTAGTATCGGTGCCGAGTATTTGGGTGAGTACTCGTACTCGCATAATGCTCCGATGCCTTGCCCGATACTTCCGGTATCAGGAAGCCAGGCAGCGCATCACTACACGCTGACTGGCTTCCTGATTGGTCCGGAAAGCTGGCTCCATGCTCCCTCGTCACTTGTGACGAGAGAGCAAGGAGCCGGCTTCCCCAGCCAATCAGGAAGCCGGGCAGCATGTAATAATGCGGTGCCCGGCTTTCTCATTGGCCAGAAAGCCAGCTCCATGCTTTCTCGTCACCTAGTGATGAGAAGCATGGGGACAGCTTCCCTGCTAATCGGGAAGCTGGGTGGCGAGTCTTTACACACTGCCCAACTTCCCGGCTAATCAGGAAGCCGGGTGACGAGTCATTACATGCCGCCTGGCTTCCTGAATGGGACTTCCGGTACTCGTACTCGATACCGAAATACCGGTATCAGTGCATCCCTAGTACCAATATTCTTCTTGTCTCTGACAACCAGCCATCTTATCCAGATCACACTGTGATAAAACAATGAAGTGGAGAGGGCGGCTTAGAGCTAAACATATAAGAGTGTTGCCCACAGCAGCCAATCATAATCCAGCAGACTTTTACTCAACGGAGTCTGATTGGCTGCTACGGACAACGCAAATATATTTTCCTTTAGGATACGTTTGTAGATGAGAGTCTATAAGGAAAGAAAACACTGGGCCAGATAAACGTTTGTTGGTTCGCCAAGTACTTGGCACATCTGCTTTTTTGGATGCGCCAAAAAATAATTTAGTTTGAAGGGTTTAAATGTCACAATTTTGTAAACTTGTTTGAAAAGAAAGAAAAAAACATGTCAGTTCGGCATGGCGAGCGACGATTCGCCTTCCTCAATAACTCTCAGTTTATCTGGCCCAATGCCTGGCTAAAGAGTCAATTACCAGCGGCGGGGAGCCCATCCGCGATATTCGGCTGCTCCAGGGGGCCGCAGGGAGTCCCATTCGTGTAGTGTTTGGTCTTCAGCACCTTCAGAAAGGGGACTGGGAGGTTGTACGTGGATTCTGGGGTTTTGTAGTCAGACACCGGGCAGGTGGACAGGATAGTCACCTTTAAATTGTCTTTCTGTAGACAGCCGAGGACCTGCCAGGGGGAGAAAAGCCAAAATCAAACATGGCAGAAGGATGAGAAAAGTCCATCAACTCCACATTACAGCATACTTAAAAAAAACCTCTACACATACAGTGCAAGATCGGCCAAAAAAAGCCTTAACCCCTTGATTGCTGTGATGAATCCCATCCAGACAGTCTATCCCAACGGCCATTATATATACTAGGGATGCACCGATACCGGTTTTACGGTATCGAGTACCGATACTTTGCTTTCGGTACTGTCCAATACCGAGTACAGATACCGGTGCTTCCGCTGGTATGGAGCAGGCAAGTTGGGCAATCAGGAAGCCGGGTGGAGGGCAATGACATACCACCCGGCTTCCTTATTGCCTGGGAAGCCGGCTCCATTGTGTTTGGTCAGCTTGATTGTGACTTACCGGGAAACCGGCTTCCCAGCCAATCATAATCAAGCTGGCTTCCTGGCCAATCAGGAAGCCGGGAGGCGAGTAATGCCCTGCCTCCTGCTTGACCAAGAAGCTGGCTCCATGCTGATTTGGCTGGAAAGTCGGCTTCCCGGGCCAATCAGCATCGAGCCGTCTGTTTGCCAATCAGGAAGCTGGGAGGCGGGTCATTACTCGCTGCCCAGCTTCCTGATCGTACGGTTAGCTGGCTCCATGTTCCCCTATGGCACGGCCGTTCAGAGGAAATCTTCCTCTGACCGGAAGTTCCGGTATCGGGAAGATATCAGGGCATTTGGGCGAGTACGAGTGCTCGCCCACATACTCGGTATCGATACCAATACTAGTATCGGTACGTCCCTAACGTATACTATATGTCAATGGAAGTCAGAGGGTGTATATGTAGACAGATGTCTGACATATTATAGCATGTCTGCAGAGGGTCCCGGCTCCCCGGAATACATTTTGATTTCTCCTCTAATTTAGGCTATAAATGGCTGAGATTAAGAGATGGGCACGGCAGGTTCATCTCGTACGATAGAAAGTCCACCATTCTGGAGGGGACCCCAGACAACATCAGAGCTGAAAGGCGGAGCATAGGACAGCTCATGCCAAATTTCACCCCATTACATCAATTGCACACGCCCAAAAATGTCACGGTCCTGATAATGACCCCTCCGCAATCAGATCTGTTTACATTACCGCATCGGCCTTCTCAGAGGCTGTTACTTCAGATAAATGTTTGTAAAGACGTCATCTTTGTCGTTTGATGGACGTGACGACAAGGTGATTGGGGTAACAGTAAATAAGCCTGGTTCAAATTATGCTGCAGCATCACTGCCCCTGGAATCGGGAGATGGGAGCCAAATGACACGTAACATTCATGAAGACCTTTCCCGCGTCTAATACTACGCCTCAGTGTCTGGAGGAAACATAGGTCTGGTTTCCTATAGTAACCAGATTCTTTCTTTCATGTCTCCACTTCCATACAGGAAGATTCTTACTGGTCTTAAGTAGGAATGAGCTGGGGTATGGTCAGAACTTGAATTTGTCAGAAGGAAGCCGCCAGTACCGGCCCAGGGGGCACTCCCTACGCACTTTCAGCGTTAGAGTTCTGCTTCAAGACAAAAATATACTAAGAAGTTTTGTTTTTTTGCATCCATTGGCACAGAACATACGTTCACAGAGCTTTGCAGGAGGAATGGCTCTGCGAATGGTTTATATATGCAGCCAGATATGTATTTTTCTTCTTCATTTTTACAGATTTCTTTGGAGGATGCCACAATCAGTCTTTGTAACTTAGAACAGATTCTGACCCACCTTCTCACACCACTGGAACTGCTGGTCCTCGGCCACGTAACAGAAACACTGACACAGGATCACCTGGAACACAGAATACAACACTCACTGATCACACCCAGAATTATCATATGGGCAGCAGTGCAGACGCGCCGCAATGCTCATCACACACTTGCCGATTTTGTCGCTTTCACAAACATTTCCTGGTTTTAAAGCACCAAACAATAGAAACTGCAGCGAATAACCATTGAAAATGTCTTTGTGATGGCTTGGTGTTGGTTAAGATCCACCAGTTTGCTGTGTATGACATAAAGCTGGCCACACACACAGCAATGTTCAAGGGGATGTACAGACGTTTTGTGTCAGGGAAATTTGATCAATGCGCATAGGGTAAGTATTGCGAGAGCTGCTGTGTAGGCTTATGGGCGTGTGAGGCGCTACGGTGCCAACATCACGCACAACCACACATCTGCTCATGGAAAAAGACATGTGTACGTGCCTAACGCGACGTGCATGCCACGTGCACTGACGAGTGATCTTCTTCCTGTGCCCATGTTGCTGACTTCTGCTTCCTGTACTGACCTGTCTTGGCCCTGCTGATCTACCCCTGCCCTTGTGACCATGGCTTGCCTTCTGACCTTGCTCCTGTCCGTCGATTCCATCCTGTCCATAAGTCTCTAACCTGGCGTGTCTCGACTTTTCTTCTGACTACTGAGTGTGTGCTGCAGCAAGTTACCGACCTGACTTTCCCCGACTCTGCTATATTCTGCATTGCTGCTACTTCCGCTGTTGTCGGCATCATCTCCTGGTGGTCATCTCCATCAGCTGACCTCTGTATCCAGTCGCCTGCATCAGCAGTCCTGGTACCTACAGCAGCTTCAGCAACCGCTGCCACTCATGCCCTTACTCTGTTTCCACCACGAGTCATTACCTGCCCCCCCCGGCTTCCTGATTGGCCCGGGAAGCCGGCTCCATGCTCCCTGGTGACCAGAGAGCATGGAGCCGGCTTTCCGGCCAACCAGGAAGCCATCAGCGTGTAATTACTTGTTGCCCAGCTTCCCAATCGATTACAGAGGTTCCAGTATCGGAGTAAGCATCAGGAGTATTTGGGCTAGTTTGAGTACTTGCCCAAATACTCGGTATCGGCATTGATACTAGTATCGGTATTGGCGCATCCCTAATGATTACGATTATTCAGGATTAATATAGTGCCAACAGTTTGCACAGTTGTACAACATATGGGGAGACAGTGCAATTACAATACAATACCATACAAAAGGATTAGAGGACACAGCTAGTGAGAGCTTACAATCTGCAAAGAGGGACAAGTGATACAGAAGGTAATGACTGTGAGGGATGAGCTGATTGAAGGAGTAGATGTACAGTTTTTAGGAGGAGGTGGAATAGGTTTCCCTGAAGATGTGAGTTTTCAGACAGACAGATTAGGAGATAGCCTAGACAGCATGGATGATTTATGTGCTGCTGTGCAGCTATGTAATCAGTAGAGATCGCAAAGTGCTTGAAGCAGGCAGACCCCGTATGATATTAGCTACAATGTACACAGAACATATGCGCCATGAGATCTGCCAAAACAAGATGCTCCATGCAGCAATTCACATTTCTCAAAATCTGGCAATCTTAGTTTATCTGCCCAATGTATTTCTTTAGTAGATATGCATGTTAATGTCATATAGTCTTTTGTCCAGCCAGCATCTGAAGCTCTTGGCCCCTTTTCTCGTTTGCCTCCTTATTACCTTTTGTATACAGAACTCAGTACCTCCAGCTGACATTTACACACATGTGAATGGCTAATTTCAACGAGACATTTTCAACTACTCCGCCCCCATCACATTTGCAAAGATAAATTCTACAGCTGGAGTGCCGAGGTCGCCCACCCACGCCTTACTGAACACCCATGAATTCATATGGAGGTTTTTCTCTCACCGTGGGGTCTGTGATGCAGCGGTAGAAGACGCAGGAAGACGGGGTAGTGTCAGATCTGGGCGCGTGCTCCCGACACCTCTCATTCCATAACGTTATATGTCCGGAGACTTCCCAACTCCCAGAGCTCAGGATATGGGAAGACACAAACCCTGCAAAAAGAAGACAAAAGTTACACAATTGCTCTGTGCATCCAAACAGGCGCGCTTCAATGCATTGCACCAAAGCCAATGACAGGAGCTTTTTTTTTTTCCTTTAGGAGAGTCCCTCCTAAAAGCAAAACCTACACATTGCCCATGCAGAGCAAATTAATGATTTTGCTTAAAATTGGGATTAAACTCCAAAAAGAAAAAAAGGCGTGTGTTGTGATATATTGTAATGCTGGCGCTTGCATTCCAAGTTGTTTGTAGTGTCAGTATGTAGAAGTTGTTCAAGAAACTTTTGGACGATTTCTTAAGGGACCGTAATATACAGGGGTACAGGTACTCCTAGAATGAGATCCTAATAGGTTGGACTTGATGGACTAATGTCTTTATTCAACCTCAAATACTATGTAACTATGTAGAAGTTACGTATCTATAGGTAGGGAAAGATCTCATTACCACCGACAGAAATCTGAATGTGTGTATATCCATATTGCTGTGTGTGTGAATAACAAGTCCACTGACAAACTGCAAGTGGTGGCGGTCTACCCTGTGAATGGTGTGTCTTGTGTGCCTAGGCAGTGGTAATAGTGATCACGTGAGGATTCTAGCTCACACGGTAGCTTAAGGCAGGGGTAGGCAACCTCAGCACTCTGTTGTGGTACTGCAAGTCCCACGAGGCATTGTAAGTCTGACAGCCACAGGCATGACTCCCAATTGCAGAGGCAAGATGGGATTTGTCGTCTCACCACAGCTGGAGTGCCGAGGTTGCCTACCCATGATTTAGGGAATCTCAGAAGCATGTGGAAATCACTTCTTTTTCAGCAGAGGAAAAAGATGCCATAAACACCCAGGTACTCTGCTGCATGTCTTCTGAGAAAGTCCAATATCGAGTCACTGAGCTTGGACCGGACGTGCAACCCGCAACATACATATGAGAACACCTCACTGATCCACCTCTTATATACAACAAGGGCATGTTTACCACCTCACTGATCCACCTCTTATATACAGCAAGGGCATGTTTACCACCTCACTGATCCACCTCTTATATACAACAAGGGCATGTTTACCACCTCACTGATCCACCTCTTATATACAGCAAGGGCATGTTTACCACCACTCTACTTTCACTGTACCCATGCTAATGGAAGACTTCACTGCCTCCCCTCCGAGCACTACAGGGTGTTAGTGGTACCCTAGGTGGGTAGATGGAGAGAGGAGTCCCCCTCTTTTACATTAGAGATCCCCTTTTACATAAGAGTCCTAACATCACAAACTATCAAGGTAGCCCTGAGGAAGTCAGAAGGCACCCTGGCATGCCACGCCACCCTGGTTGAGAGAGGCTGCCCTATCCTACCTACGTCCTTTTTGTTTTCTTGTTTTCACTCCAGAGCACCCCCCACCCACTTTCCTCTTACTCTCCAACACCCCCGATCCCACATCCTTACCTTTTATCACAACCTGCCCTCCCCATTTATATTCTACACAAAGCACTAACCACCCCCGAATATACTGTATATCACAAAAAAAAAAGAGGGAAACAGGGAAACATATGCACAACCACCATAAACTATCCTTGTACTCCTCCCTACCATAAAGACCAATCACTTGGAAGCACTTCTGTTTCCATTGAACTACATCTTGCAGTGTAAAGGGTATGTAATGTGCGGAAGGTTTTGTAATGTACGTGTACATCTCTCCTTACGCTCTACCGAAATACAGGATGAGAACACTGGCAGAGTGTGCTAGTATGCTGCGTGTGCTATTGTTAAAGCCTTAAGAAGCTTTTGGTGACCCCGAACCCAAAGACCGTTTCAGCTATGCGGTCACCAGCACGTGGTCAATGGTTTTTGTCAGCATGTGAAGCACAAGTTCCTAGGTACTACTACTCCATACCGGTAATGCTAAGTACTACTACTAAGTAACGGTATGGAGAGAGTTGAACATACAGGATGGTATTTTCACTATTCTTTGTTCTACTCCTGCATGAGCTAAGCTGTTATTTAAAGGTGCCAGGTCTTGGGATAGAGGGTTGCCGGACAGAAATTATACCGAGCAGTGTCTATGACTGGGGTGGGTGACCTTGGCACTCCAGCTGTGGTTAAGCTACAAATCCCACCATGCATCTGCCTCAGGGAGCCATGTCTGTGGCTGTCAGCGTCTTGCAATGCCTCATGGGACTTTGCTGTTTCAGGAATACTTTGTGTTTTGTATTGCCACACGTAACCAACCTGTAGCATTGTCACCGACAGCCAGAATCAGACTGGAGCAACTGAGCCTGTGTTCAGGAGAGTCCTCGATAGCTGCGCTGGTCTCGGGGCTCCAGGTCAGCGTCACCTCCCTGCAAGGGAAAGGGCAGAGTGTCAACCTGTTTACTGCAATGTAGAAATATCTGGGTACAGATCAGAGGAGGAATCAGAGCTAGACATTGCATATGCTACTAGCCTGTCACTGAACGCTTCTCTGCCTTTTGGCTAAGATCAAGTGTAGTATCTGTTCTTATCAGTTGCCGGGGACAGAACGGCCGCCGTCGCCTAAGGAGAGATGGCGGCTTAGTAAATCCTGGCGTAATTCTGATGGGAATGGGTGCTTGCTTGGTCTGGCTGGAGTGTTGGGAGGCGGCAGAGCCCGTGGTGCTGTGCCCCCTGGGGTGGCGTCCCAGGGGTGCCAGAGAATCACATTGGGTGTGGGACCCCAACACTGATTCACTTACACATGGACATGGCCCTCATTGCAATCTGCACAACGCCTCTTGGACAGGCCTTATGGCTAGTCCGGGGCAATATTTTTGCACTCCGGCCCCTAAGGCCCGTCAGTGTGGTGCACTGGCACTTCGATTTTTATTCATGCACGATTGGCACTTGACTTTCACAGGTTGACGGAGGGTGCAGGTACCTTCGGGCCTGTTTCTTGAAGTTGGGGAGAAGGTTCTGTGACCTACAAATGGGCACCTCTGCCTTCTCCCACCTGTGGGTGGTCTCTCTTTGGGAGAGCCCCCCAACCTAGTACATGGGGACCTGTTTCGGGAGGTCCCAGAGGATCGGGGCCTTCGGGTTGGGGGACCTAAGTCGTTCTTGTCCCTGTCAGGAGCCTTGCGCCCCGGGGGAATCAGGAAAAATTGTGGCCCTTTCATTAGAAAGGACCAAAGCACCCTTGTGCTTTGTGATTTCACGATTCACTTTTTTTGTTCACAGGGGATTCGTTTTCAAGCATGCTCCACGGGCTTTAAAAAGAAACAACAAACTAGTTTGTCACTGATCATACTGGGGAAGCCTCTAAAGTGGACCTCCTGTCCAAATCCTTTGTTTGGATAGAATGGGGAAGAGTTGGACTTTCAGCTGAATACACTCCAGGTGCATCAAAACAAACGGCGTCCATGTCTGACAGTTCATTTTCTTTCTAATGCAACCACAAAGCCTGACCCTGCCAGCATGCTGCAGGAAAGGACCTTTGCTCTCTGAGGGAAAGCAGTGGTCTCTCTGCAAAGGTCTGACACGCCCCCTAATGAGTCAAAACCAGAGCTCTCCAATCAGCAGGAAGCATGAGCTTTGCTGATTGCACAGCTGCTCGCAGTCTGCATTGGGAGAGTGTGACAACGCAGAAGGCAAAACATTGTCCTCCCATTAAGTGCCCGATCCCTCATGGCAGGATCACCAGGCATTATTTAATTGAAAGCTGCAGATTTAAAAATATCACTTTTGAGAACGACATTAACATGGTAAAGCTCATGTAAGACTCCTGCAGACTGTTCAGGTCTTCTGTTATGGAGCTGGAGGAAGTTATCAATGGACTGAAGGCATCAATGGACTACAAGAGCACCACCGCACTTGTGCTCCACTGAGAACTGAGTGCTCTCTCTGCTTTTCACTCACCTCATAGTTCTAGCCGACCTGTGACAATGAGACTGTCACAGGTCGGCTCAGTAGATCGGGAGGTGAGCGAACATATACCGGCGTTCGATCACCTCTCGATCCTGTCACGGCTCTCTGCCGTGACAGGGGAGGGGCTGGATTCCCCCCCTCCGCCAGCGCTGACTGGCGGAACGGACGGGGGAAGGGGCGGGTACAGCTGGCTCTGCCTCTAAATAGGCAGAGCTAGCTGTCAGTCACACAGCTGGGCGGATCCCGGCACAATTGTCGGGATCCGCTTCAGCTGCGGCGTCTCAGTATGTAGCTTGCGGTATACTGAGCCTAGGGTGACGGGAGGACGCTAGTTTGTGTCCTCCCGTTACCCTAAGGAGAACTATGGGGGAAAGACTCAACCCCCATAGTTCTCCTTTAACCTTTTATCGAAATGCATTTAGCATGCCAACACGTTACCTCCAAACCTAAAACAAGTGGTGTGAATCCAAGACATACCATAGAATGTCTCAGCATTCCCTGTCCATTTGTGGCACATTAAACTGAAAATGAGTGATGTGCGGGGGGCTTGGAGCACACCCAAACCCGCACATAACTGTGGCTGACACCCCTCCTCCCATTTTCTGCCCGGTCCAATCAGGGTAAGGATGTAGACGCTCATAATGACGACAACAAAAAATACGTAATATCACCTGGATGAAAGTGTAAAGTTAGAAATATAGAAATATGAATGTAATAAGTCTGCTGTAAACCCCAGACCCCCCCCCCC